CCAGAAAACATAGCACGTTTTCTTTCTGTCTGTCTTTTAATGTGGGTACTGTTCAGAAGAGAATAAGCCAGCCTTCCTTTAGAGAGCTGACTTGGTAATTACTGCTCTGCTCTTGACTTTGTTAATGGAATGCACACTAACAACACTTCTTCTCTTTTCTTCCCTGTACCCCAATTACCTCTCAAATGAAGCAGCAGCCTTCTGGAAACATGGATGACAGTGGTTTTTTCTCTATCCAGGTAAGTAATCACAAGTGTGCACAGTATGTTGTCTGTGTGCCAGGCTCCGTCTAAGCTCAGGGCACGATTGGTAGGGGGTATTTTTTTGTTACTTCTGTAGGCACTGCCATGAGAGATCTGTGGAGTAGAAGGTTAATAAGGGGGAGGGGGGTACCAGGAAGACCTAGAGTTTTCCAAGATAGTCTTGAAAATTAGGTTGTAGAGGCTTCATTCTAGAGTTGTGTTGTTAATGACCATTGAGATGGTTTATTTTAGTGCTTTTAAAATGCTTTCTTGATCATTTAATTTACATCTAGATGCTAGTACTTTAATTCCAGTAAGTCATGAAGTTGCAGACTTAACTGTCTTTTGGTTAAATTTGAGAAAATGCAAATACCCTGTTTAAATTGGCCTGCCAGGATTCAGCTTTCTTACAGTCTGCGGGTCTTGTTTGTTTATGATCAGTATTATTTTTACCATATAGCTTCCCTTGAATTCTATGGGCATATCCAAGATGGCTTCAAAATTTTTATGGGAAAATCCATTATCTTTTAGTTCCGTCTTTTTGGAGCCTCCTCGTATATGTACTTGCGAGATTCTCATATTATACCCATTTGTCTTTTCATTCTGTCTCTTGCAAGATGACTTAATGAGATGTATCCGAAGTTACAGTTGGTCTTTGAACAACATGGGTTTGAACTGCGAGGGTCTACTTTTACGTGGATGTTTCTTTTAAAATACCGTAATCATATCCACGTGAGCTATTCATCGCTCCAGTAAATTGTATAACCCACTACCATTGAATCAAGTCCAATTCAGAGCAAGTCTGTAGGACAGACTAGAACTGTGCCCTAGGGATTCCGGAGACTGAATCTTTCTGGGAGCAGACAGCTGCTTCTTTCTCCCTTGGAGAGACTGGTGGGTTTGAACCACCAACCCATGGTTAGCAACTGAATGCTTAACACACCACGCTACCAGGACTCCTTAATAAATTGCATAGTACAGTAAAAAGTGATCTTTCATGATTCTTGCATATCGTTCATCATGTTTAGTGCACTACCATCAGCCTTGAGTAACACCACGGAACCCATTCGAAGGCATGCTGCAAGTGCCCTTGAGAAGCAGAGAAAGTCATGCCATTGCAGGAAAGAATTGAAGTGTTTGATATGTTCCGCAGATTGAGGTGTGCTGCTGCCGCCAGTTCAAAAAAAACGAATCCATTATAAGGACCATTATAAACAAGGGAAAAAAAGGACACTTGTGAAACCAACATTGTAGCAACGCCAACAGGCATGAAAACCTCAACATTTTTTGCAAAATATATTTTTATCTCATATGAAAGTGCAAGCTTTGTGTGGGTGCAGTAGATAATACATGTTGTTTTTATTAAGTTCTGTCGAGTCCTAGCGACTCTGTATAGAGTGTCCAGGAGCAGCTGGTGAATTTGAACTGCTGTCCTTATGGTTAGTAGTCCAGCACTTAGCCTACAGAGCCACACCAGCAGTTAATGTAATATATACAACGTACAAAATGCCTGCTGGCTGTTTATGGTATTGGTAATACTGCTGGTCAACAGTTGTTGTTGTTAAGTGCTGTCGAGTTGGTTCCGACCCATAGCAACCCTGGGTGGGATTTCCAAGGCTGTAAATCTTTATGGGAGCAAAAAGCCTCATCTTTCTCCTGCAGAACAGCTGGTAGTTTCAAACTGCTGACTGAAGTTAGCAGCTCAACTCGTAACCACTACACTACCAGAGCTCCTTACTGGTCAACAGCAGGCTGATAGTAATTATGTTTTGGGGGAGTCAGAAGTTGTACATGGGTTTTCTACAGCACAGGGCGGGGGTAAGCCCCCTTAACACCCATGTGGTTCAAGGGTCAACTGTATTTCAGAACGCCTCCTGCAGATAGCTCTGTTGGCTTTCCCTTGTAATGCCCGCTGGACTTCATCCACCAGCATTCCCGTGCAGGGCTTCATTGTGCCACCGTTTCAGGTTCCAGCTCCTGTAAAGTTGGGTTGACTGGAGGTGGGGGCGGGCCCAGCACTTGCTGTTTCCTGTTTGTGCACTGCTGTTCTTGGTGCTGATTCACGTTTGCTCACCATTTTGGGATTTTTATTTTTCTGTATTAGTACCTGATTTACTTGCTTCTTAGTTGGCTACTTTAGGAAGTAGATGGTGAGTTTTCAGAATTTCTTTCTCATTTCCCCATTGGAAATTGTCAAGATTGCCTTTTTTTCCCCCCCTCTTCCTCCTATTCATTACAAGCCCACGATCATAGCTATTTTGAATCTGTGAAGCAGTCTCTGTAACTCCCAAGGGAGCATGCCTTTTAATAAGCATTTCATGATCACTGCCATTGTAGGTAGTGAGCTTAGGAAGTGAGCCTCTAGAACGGCAGGCCCATAGCAGAAAGCCATTGTCGCCTGGTTTGAAGACTAGCAAGAATATGCACCTGGATTCTGGAGGCAGTTTTCCCTAAGAATTATGTGTTTCTCTGGAATGTCTCAGAAAGCAAGTGTAAAAGGCCATCTTGTAAGGGTACGGATGTAAGCTGTGTATGGGTTAGTGATTTATCGGTTACATCAGCCCACACCTGAAGGCCATAGACTACTGAGGAAATTGATATATGAAGTACAATTGCTAACACAACTAACGTGGCTACACTGAAGTTCCCACTTTGAATGGCTTAGCTCATGAAAAGTTACTATTTTTTAACAGGTTATAAGCAATGCCTTGAAAGTTTGGGGTTTAGAACTAATCCTGTTCAACAGTCCAGAGTATCAGAGGCTCAGGATCGACCCTATGTAAGACTATTTTGCTTTTCCTACATTTCTCTTCCCAAATTTGATCTTTAAAGTTATAATCGCTAAAAGAAGAAACCGGTATTTTGAATTGTTGTGATGTTTCTTGTTTTATTGCCTCAGACTATCCTATTTCACCCTTGCCATGATGTCTCTGGACATCTGCCCACTGAGTCTTCCTGACCCCTCCCTCAGTGTCTGTGGTAGCGCAGAGCTGCTATGTGAATGTGTGTGGTGCCACCACTCCGCCTGCGTGTAGAGATCAACACAGTTCTGTCATTTGATGATACTTAACTGTAGACATAATCCTAAATGATCACAAATTTTGTATAACATGATAGATATATGATAATTGGTAAACTAAATGAAGGTGCACTCTAATGTTTCCACTTAATACTGTGTATGTATTCTTTCTTTTTCTAGAAATGAAAGATCATTTATATGCAATTATAAAGAACACTGGTTTACAGTTAGAAAATTAGGAAAACAGGTAACATTTCTTCTCCTTCTTTGTCCTTTTTCTCATTCTATACTCTATTTAAAACTTGAAATTTTTGGACTCCAAGGTATCCTTAAAGGTGAGAAAATATACCAGTTTCAATCTTGGTAGAAATTTTTTTACTTTAAAAAGACAATATCATGTTTGTGACAGCACTATAGAACTCTTAAGTCTGTCATGAGAGAAACTGAAAACGTGGTCTCTTTTGATATGTGATGAATATGTTCAGTCAGCTAACTAGTCTTTTGATTGTGTAGTGGTCACAGTGTCAACAGGAATGAAAACCACTGCTTTAGTGTAAATCAGTGTCGGCACGTCACGGGAGTCCAGGGATGTATCTTGAGCAGCAGTTACTTTTCTAGGTGGAGTCTGGAGTCTCAAATGACTGGAATGATTCCATGTGGACATCTGAGCACACCAGTGCTTCAGGCCTTTGTCAACCGAATTGAATGATGGGTCTCTCTGGAAGACAGTGAAATAGTTGAAATTTAGAGTACTAGGCTTAAAGCCATTGACCAGTTCATAAAACACTTGAGAAATGAAACAAACCATTTTTGCGTGTACCAAACCTGTTGCTGTCAGGTGGCAGAGTAGAACTGCCTGTAGGGTTTCCTAGGCTGTGATCTTCCTGGGAAGATAACCTTTCCATTAACATCCACGTGCTTTACCCACTGTGCCACCAGGGTACCCTACTTTTTGGTAAGGGCTCTGTAAAGTACTGCCAGAATGCTTAAGAGCATGGTGGCTCTAGAAGATAAAAACTGGACTGTGAACCACAAGGTCAGCGGTTCGAGTCCACCAGTCGCTCTCACCAGTGGGAGAAAGCTGAGACTTTCTGCTCCTATAAAGATTTACAGCCTCGGAAACCCTATACAGGGTCTCTACGAGTTGGAACCAACCAGACAATACTTAGCAACAACAGAATGCTAAAATGTATGTGAGCCTTTTCAAAATGAACAAAAGTACATAAAAACATTAATTTCAAAAATAACTAATTACCCATGATCTTTGTATCTTTGTAGGCACAATTCCATTTTTGAAATAGAATTATTTAAAGTCTTTTTTTTTTTAATTAGAATTTTGGCGCTTTGGGTTATCGGAAGCCCACTGTTGCGGTAAAAAGGAATGAGCTAAGGAGACAGAGCAGCATGGCTGAATCTCACAATAATGATAGCCAATGAACTGAACCAGGCCACAAAGGGTGCATGTTATCTGACTGCATGGATGAAAATCTAGAAAATGCGAGCCAGTCTTTGGTGATAGAAAACGGATCTATCAGTGTTTGTCTGATGGGCACAAGGAGCAGGGGACTATAAAGGGGCAGGAGGAGACTAGCGAGTGATGACTGTGTTTCCTGTCTTGGTGGTGGTGATGGTTTCGTGTGTGTATACTGTGTTAAAACTCTTCAAATGTACATAATTTTGTGTGTGTGCAATGTCATTTACATCATTTTGTGTGTGTGCAGTGTCATTTACATCTCATTAAGGTTCTTAAAAATACAGCGAAGACCAGAAAATGAATCAAGGGAGACTTGTGGTGTGTCCTGAGTCAGTTCTGATGCTGACTCAGAGCGACCCAATAGGACAGAGAGAAATGCTTTCTTAGGCTATCAGCTTTACGGAGCAGATTGCCGGGTTTGTTCTCCTGCAGAGCGGCTGGTGGGCTCGAACTGCTGATCTTTTCACTTAACCACTTGGGCTCCTCTAAGGAAGACTGTTGTTGTGTGCCGTCGAATTGGTTCCGACTTACAGCGACCCCGTATAGGGTTTTCAAGAGAAGCTGGTGAGTTTGAACTGCTGGCCTTTCCATTACCAGTCTGGTGCTTATCCTACAGCACCCCACCAGTGCTCCTGAAGAAGACTATACCAAGCTAAACCAATAAAAGATCATTCAGACACAAAACAACAATCTGCAAAAAAATCCGTTACTTGAAGCCAGCCACCTGGAAGCAGCTTCCGCCTTAAACAGGTGTTTGTTAAGGTTCTGGTGACTGCTGAGAGCAAGTCAAGAGGTACGGTGTGCAGGCACGAACGAAGTGGGGCCTGGTGGAGTGGGTGTCCAGGCTAGGGCAAAGCAACAGGGCAGGGTACTGCCCACGTGAGTTAGCCCCTCTGAGTTTTGTTGGTACTTTTTCATAACAGTGATCAAGTTATTTCCCCCCTCCTTTCCTTTTTCTTTTGATCAATGATTCTTTTACTATATAATGTAATTAATGGATTTTGAAAATCTGAAGAAAATTGAGTTTTCACGTTTTGAACTGCAAATATAGAAAATGTCAAACTTGGTTTATTATCCTTGGTTCTAGCTTCTATTTTTTGATAAAAACTGTTTTTCACTGTAGACTTTCTGTCTGATGTCCCTATATCATGACAAAGATGACCGGGCGGGATAGCAGGTGTGTCAGACATATCCGAGGGGTCATGGTATTTGATAGTAGCTATGGAAACATTTTGATCTGGAGGGTAAACTAGGCCTCCCATGAGATAGTGACTGAATGATGTCCGTTGCCACCAGCTGGCGGGTTAGTGATTTCTGTTCAGTCAACTGTTGGATGCCATCAACTTGATTTCTGATGCATAGCGACCCTAGGGGACAGGACAACTGCTCCATAGGGGTTTCCAGGCTGAGGTCTTTGAGGAAGCATGTGGCCAAGCTTTTCTCCCTGGGAGCCACAGGGTGGGTTTCAACCACTGACTTCTAGCTTAGCTGCCAAAAGCTTCACTCTTGTACCACTTGTTGTTGTTGTTGTTAAGTGCCGTCGAGTCGGTTCCGACCCATAGCGACCCTGTACAGGGTTTCCGAGGGTGTAAATCTTTACGGGAGTAGAAAGCCTCATCTTTCTCCCGCGGAGCAGCTGGTAGTTTCGAACCGCTGACCTTAAGGTTCGCAGCCCGATTCGTAACCACTACGCTACCAGAGCTCCTTGTACCACTAGGGCCCCTTTTAAAGGAAGGGTCGTTAAGTGCCATTGGAGTCGTTTCTCACACACAGTGACCCTTTAGAGGGTTTCCAAGGAGCAGTTGGGGGTCTTAACCCCTGACTTTATGGTTAGCAATCCAGTGCTTATCAACTACAATGCCGCACCATGACTCCTAATTAAATGAATTAGTGATAACAAAGTCTCTTCAAATGTCTGTTTTGTTTGACTTTCTCGGTCTTTTGACCAACACTATCTGTATTGGGGATGTTGTTGTTGTTAAGTGCCGTCACATGGGTTCTGACCCTTAGCGCGACCCTGTTTAGGGTTTCTAAGGAGCGGCTGGTGAGCTTGAACCGCTAACCTTGTAGTTGAAACCGACTTTGCAGTCCCATGCATGACCCCGCAGCGCCTTATTAGTAGTCATCATTTTCTTCACATCCTTGGGTTCTGAGGTTAGAGCAGTGTTTGTGCTGATATTGTGAAGAAAGATTGGCCTGTACGTGGGGGCTTCAGTAGTTTATGGGAAAATGGAAAAGATAAAGGATTGTTTCCAGGAACTTTTGAAACCCCCACCCCCCAATACCTATCAATAAAGATACTTTAAAGGACTATCAGTTTTTATTTTGGGGGCAGGCATTTAAAATTTGTGGCATAAAGCAAACTTTTTTTTTTAAAAAAAGGCATTAAATAATGATATAATTGCAGCATGTTTTGTTTTAAAAAATCACATCGTTCAGCTCCTTTAAAAATATCTTTGACATCTTTCCAGTGCTTAGAGACTACGATTACTTCGGAACGAATTGTACCAATTCATAATGTGTAATGCCTTCATTACCTATAATAGTGTACACTAACATTAGTTAGAAGGGCCCTGGTGGTGCAGTGGTTAAGCACTTGGCTGCTAACTGAAAGGTCGGCGCTCCAACCCTACCAGCCACACCATGGGAGGTGGAGGTGGCAGTCCGCTTCAGTAAAGATTCCCACTGCCATGGAGGCAGTGCTGACTGCAGCAGTCTTGTACAGGGTCTCCAGGACTGTACATCTTCTTTCTCCAGCAGAGTGACTGGTAGGTTAGCAGTCCAGTGCTTAGCCCACAGTGCCACCAGGGCCCCTTTCCATAAAGACGGCAGCCTTGGAAACACTGTGGTGCAGTTTGAGTCTGTCTTTCTGGGTCACTGTGATTCAGACTCAACTCGATGACAGTGGGCTTGGTTTTCACTACACTAACTTCAATATTGACCATTTTTCTTTTCCAGTGGTTTAACTTGAATTCTCTCTTGACGGGTCCAGAGTTAATATCAGACACATACCTTGCACTTTTCTTGGCTCAATTACAACAGGAAGGTAAATAAAGACTGAAAATGTTGTGATGTGAGTTTTTTGCAGTAGCTAAGTAAACTGAGCAGGTTTGGGATGGTTCTGTTCAGGCAGAGTTCCTGCTGATCCCCACCCTTCCCTGAGGCTATGCAACTTCCTCTTGCAGCCCTGAGTAATAGCTCTTTTGCATTCCTACTCCACAGCCTCGGGGCCTAGCTGGAGGGGTGTAGGGCTAGGTGTTCTGGTTCCTCCTGCACCCTTCTAGGCCCCTCTTCCTCCCCTAAGACACCGGCCTCCTTGGAAAGAGTTGCCACTAGATGACACCCACCTTGGGCTCTCTCTTGTCACCTGACCCTCTCACGGTCTTTGTCGCCGCTCCAACTCCTGTTACCATTCATGACAGTTTCTACATGGAAAAAAATTAATCCATTATTGACATTTCTGTTTCTTGCATTTTAGTTTTTCAAAGATCATTTTCTTCACTCTTACTTAACCGTGACCAGTCAGTGTACCACCTCCAAGTTTTAATACCAAACGGGGTCCCCATCTGAATGCCCCATTGCCTTTATTTTTCAGTCCAGTAGCCAAGCACATCTTTCCGTCCTTCCTTACCCTCTTGTGTTCTTGAATCCGCCATTATAATCAGTCCCTTGAGTCCCTCAACTCCTTTCTTCTTCTCTCCATCAGTTATTCATGGCAAAATCCAAATTTTGGCAATGGATTGTGGCACTGGAGCAGGCCAGCCTGGCCAAAGGATAGCACAAAATACAGTGATTGGAGGCTTTGATTTCAGGGACCCTTAACGTTGCTTGATGGTTCTGTGAGGTTTTCATAATCAGTTCACTTCCCACCCACTCTCCAAGGTGATTCTTACACAATTTCAGTCTACAAACCTCTGACCCCCTCTCTCCTAATCACTGGCCTGGCTTTATATTCTATTGAGAAAATAGAAGGCATTAAAAGAGAACTTTATATTTTACTTGCTACCAGCAAATCTGTCAACTACCTTAGTTAGGTCTTCCTTTCAGCTGTGGGCCTTTTCGAATCGTTCTGATGCTAACCAGGGCAGCTCTTCCACTGCAGGCTGGCTCCTAGGTTCACTTGCCACCTCCCAATCTTTGCTTCTGCCTTTGTCTCTGCACCCTTCTGTGTGGCCCGCTCTCCTCTTTGCCATCCCTGCCAACACAGGGATAAGCTGTCTCTCTTAGCTCCCTGAAACTCCAGCTGTCTCCTTTCGTTTTTATTTTCTCCTTCGCGGTGTCTCTGCTGTGCTGTCTCCTAGTTTTGAGCTCATTCCAGGTGCGCTGTCATGACCAACACATAAAACCCTCTTCTCGGGGTCGTCGGTGACCGTCATGTTGCAAATGCCAGTACTCACAGTCTGCCCTCTACTCATCCTCATGTCATTGGAGGGTAGAGTTGATTACATTGTTGGTACTCATGTTGTTGGTAAGTGCTATCGAGTGAGTTCCTACTCAGAGCAACCCTGTAAAGGGTTTCCAAAGAGTGGCTGGTGAGTTTACCATCACTTTTTTTTCCCACTCAGGCAACCTCGTGTGTGTAGAGTAGAACTGCTCCGTGGGCTTGTCACAGGTGTGACCTTTTGGAAGTAGCTCTCCAGGCCTTCCTTCTGAGGTGCCTGTGGGTGGGTCCGAAACATTAACCTTTCAGTGATTAGCCCAGTACGTAACCATTTGTGCTACCGCAGACTTTATAGTTGATTATGCCCCCGTCATACAACACAACACTTTATTATGGAAAATGTCAAACAAATAGCAAAGTAAAGAAAATAAGTAATGAAGCGTTCACTCAGCTTCAGAAATGATCTCGTGGTTCATTTTAGTTCCTCTGTGCCCTGCCTCCTCCCTTGTCCTGTTTAGTTTCAAGCAAACCCTAGACATCGGATAATTTTCCCTATAAATATTGTTAATAAAAAATTTTAAAGAACAGATTCTCATAAAAGTACTTAGCCTTTATATGTATAGCTTCCCCCCAAAAAATTTACTGTAATTACACTTTTAAAAACACCATAATGTTTTAACAACATTAAATACCTAGTGTCCAAGTCTTTCCAGTTGTTTTTTTAGTTTAGTCGGGATTGAAATTAGATCCATTGGTTGGCTTGGATTGGTAGTCTCTCTCATATCTGCTTTCATCTGCAGGTGTCCTCTCATCTTTATCTGTCTCCTTGGTTTAATCTGCAGGTGTCCTTTGGTTTTTGTTTTTCTCCTTGGTTTCTTTTGACGATCATGGATCCTCTGTTGTGCACATTCTGAATTTTGCTAACTTCATCCTGATTTCCTTCTGACCTCTGGTCCCCTGTAGACTGCTGCTTGCATCTAGAAGGTTTCTCAGGTTCCGATGGATTTGAGAGCAGGGCTCTTTAGAGATGATGGTGGTGATACTGGAAGTCTGGTGGTCTCTTCGTGATGTTTCTGGGGTTGCCATGAGACACCGTTAAGTTTATAGCAATGGGAGTGGCCACTGATGATCTAGGTCTAGACCCATTATTTCAAAACACTGTAAAATCGTGATCATAGGGCCCTATCATTCTTTTATTTATGAACTGGAATGTTGCTGGTGTTCCATGCCATTGAGTTGGTTCTGACTCTCAGTGACCCTGTGTAGGGTTTCCAAGGAGCAACTGGTGGATTTGGACTGCTGACTTTGTGGTTCACAGTCCAGTGCTGATCCTACAGCGCCACACCAGGAGTCCATAAACTGGAATAACTCTGTACAAATGAATTTGCCATTTACTTGGCTATCACGAAGTACACTTTATACAGAGAAAGCAGCATCAATTTTTTTTTTCCCTTAACAGTTTTTAAAATGAAGAGTTAGTTCCCGAGTATCCCCAAAGCATAGCCCCAGGAGTTTTGTTAAACTTTTACTATAGTCTCATAAACTGATAAATTAGAACTTAGTTTGGGTTTCAGTCCATTGTAGGTTACCATTCATATTGCTGCGCAAATTGCCCCTTCTTTGACCCGCAGAGCCGCCTTTTCAAGTTGAGTGAGTCTCAAGTCTCTGACACGACCCTTAAAGCCTTTTGAAGGCATCCTTTCTTGTATGACAAAATGTTTCAGGTTTATCTGGTCTATTTCCTGCCCTGGATCAGGGCTCTGTCATTTCTCCAGGCATCCCTGCTTCTTTTTAGTAACGGTATTTAGAAATCACAGTCTAAACACTGGTGTGTTTATTGCTACTGGATTGGTCATTGTCAGCCTCTTTTTTAAAGACTAAGAGAAAAGACATCATGGGGTTCATGTCGCTATTTCCAATTCACATTTAGGATTTACAAATTTTGACTTTCCTATTTTATTGTAAGCCATTTCTTTTGTGCCTAAAACCTTGGTTCCTAGCTCCCTCATTCTTGAACTACTGTCTACATTTGGCATCTTGGTTTTCCTCGTGTCTCATCAGCTGCTGCTCTTAGATTTCTTTTTTGGATCCTCTTACTCTTTTTCTAGTCTCTGAATATTGAAGTGGTCCAGGATTCAACTTCTCAACTTTATCCAGTCCCATGATATTCAGTACCTTCTTTAAGCAAAATATATATGCTGATAATTTGCAGGTTCTTATGTGCAGTCTAGACATCTGCCCTAAACACCAAACTCTTACCTTTGACATTTTCACTTGAACTTGTCTATAAAAGGCTGGATGTATTTTTCTGCCTAAACATGTTCTCACTCAGAGTTTCCATCTCAGTGAGAGCCATTGTCACCGCACCCTGCTTCCCATTCCGAGCTTCAGGGTAAACAAGCCTGAGCGCTTTCCAAAAATATAATGCATGTGATGTCATGCCTTAGAGCTCCACCCTTCAACTGCTTCTCAGCACACTCAGAAAACACTCTAAAGTGTTGAATGAAACCCAAGATCTTCATTGGGACCTAAGCCACCACACGAACTCACTCTTGTCTACCTTCTGAGCCTTTTCGTCTACCTCATTCTTTCAGACTTTGCTCAAAGGCCTTGGCCAAGTTTTTCGTACTTGAAAGCATTTGGGCTTGCCCTCTTTCCTCTCTATAAACCTTCAGGGCTTGTCATCTGACTTCAGTAGCTCTACTCAGACAGCTCAGCCTCTGAGAGGCCTTTCCTAGTGATCACCCCTGGTCGTCTCATCTGAACTCTCTCCTTCCTTCTTCACTTGTTACTTAATGTCCGCATCAATTTGCTTGGTTTTGTCTGAATTCCCATAAGGGCAGGAACCATCCCAGTGCCTAGAACAGAGCTGAGTCTAGCTAGAGTCAGTATCTGTTGAATAAATGAGTGAATGCAAATGTTATTATTGGCAGTCTGCTTGCTGCGCCCATCACACTTGGGTGTGGTGGTATCTCATTGTGAGCATACTAAGACATGCCAGAACTCTCTGCTTGGCACCCAGAATTGGATTGACTGCTGCCTCCTGTAGCCCGAAACAGACTGGGAAGCCAACACCTCAAATCTAGTCACGGTATTAAAGGTGGGGCCTCCGGTGGCTGTTTTACAAGGCGAAGCCAGTGCATTCACCAGACTACCAATTCATTGGAAAGGACATGACGTTTGGTGAAGTAGGAGGCTAATGAAAATGCAGGAAGTCCTCCAGGGGATGGATTGGCATCAGAGCTGCGACAGGTGTCTCAAACCCACCAATGAACATGAAGATGACACCGGCTCAGCAGTATTTCAGTTAGGCAAGCAGTGTGTTCTTTTCCTATTGGACAACTCTGTAGAAAGTCAGGTGTCCTTTCCGAGTGTAGAATCGATACTGGGAAAGTTAATATAATCCTAATGGCTGTCACCAGGCTGACATCTTAATGTATTTCAGTCTGAGTGAAGAGATGGATTTGCAGAAGCATTGGATTCTTGTGCCATTCTTCCCTGGGTGACAGAGACCTGGAGAAATAGCATAAAGAGTTCTTAGCCCCTTGTTCTGCCCTCTCTGTTCGCCATACCCATTCTGTACGTATAGTCTTTGGATGGTACCAACTCATTTGAGTAGGGGCGCAGCTGGTTCTCAGCAGAGTGTCTGTTCTCAGTAGAACACCATGGAGCTAGAATCCAGGAACAATTTTACCAGCAGAGCCTACGCTGAACCATCTAAATTCTGAGCACAGCAGTCCTTATGAAAAACTAGGATTGAGATTTTTCTTCATTTCTTTCATTATCTGCTAAAGTGCCCAAAGGATAGCTGGTAATAAGCATCAAAGCTGAACAAAAATGTAGGACAAACAATGAATTAGAATGGTGTTAAATCCAGGACACTCATACTCCGATTTTGTAAGGACATTCAGCGGTGAAGACCTTATTTGTAAAAAATCACATTGGGCCAATGTAATACTTTCAAAACATGAACTAACTACACTTTGAGCATCTGGACTGTATTTTGAGTATTGGCTTCCCAGCTCCTGTTTTCAGTTCAAAGTGACATGTGTGTGAGTGAGTGAGGGAGGGAGGGAGTGGGCAGCTGTTTCCACAGACGGTTCATATTTTGGTTGAGTAATAATAACCTGTTATTACACATATATTCTGCCCTCAAAATATCCCTGTGAGGAAGGTGCCAGCATTGTGTGTCTAGCGGGTAGAGAAGCCGAGACACATGCAGGTTAAGGGATTTAGCAGGGACAGAAGTGGAGGAGCTGGAATTGAAATCCAGGCAATGTAGTTCCAAATCCCTTGCTCTTACGTTCTTTACCTGTTATTAGCCGTGGGATGAACTGCTTGATCAAGCTCTGTATTAGTTGGACCCTTTCTTTATGCAGACATTATTTAATTCTCATAGACACTCCAGGAGACAGCTCATCCCGTTTTACAGATAAAGTAATTTGCCCTCGCTTACCCCCCAGTAAGTACAGGAATCATTACTTGAACCCAGGTCTTTCTGACTCCCCAGCCTATTCTTTGCACTAGATTGTGCTACCTCTCTTACGTGCTATCATTTTAAATCAATTTTGTATTTATTACGGCTGTTTGAGTTTTATTTTTGACTTTCTTGTTGTTTTAGGCTATTCTATATTTGTTGTTAAGGGTGATCTGCCCGATTGTGAAGCTGACCAACTTCTGCAGATGATCAGAGTCCAACAGATGCAGCGACCAAAGCTTATCGGAGAAGAATTAGCACAACTGAAAGATCAGAGGTAAGCGGTATGCCCGCTCCATGGACTGCATGGTAGTGTTTTGTGATAAGAATTACACTTCCAGGCTTAGGTTGAATACACAGCCCTATTACTGTTGTTGACTTTTGTAGACTTTTATGTGTTAGTGAAGTTTGTTAGTTCAAATTTGAATCAACTCTTACAGACAGGTAGTCGTCCCCTGTTTACGACAATTGGATTATGGCAAACTGCATTTAACATCCTTTTTGAGGGGAGGGGGGCATCTTATTGTTAGTAATGTGCACTGCATACAGTATTACAGCATGTAATTTGCTGATGTTATTCTTATGTCAACCCCCCCAAAAAATAATGACAACGAAAAAAAAATTTGTGAAAAGAGGCATTAGACTCATTAAAATGGAGTTGTTAGAACAGAAGACTGTCGTAAAGTAGGGACTACCTGTGTTAGAGTCACACTGGAGTATCAGCGCCAGAAAATGTGTACGTTTTGACTTTGATAGAGTGTTCTGTGTATCATGACTAACAGAGGAGTCTGGTGTGTAGTCACTTGCATCTGTACATTTGCTCTTCAGAGTCCAGAAAACAGACCTGCAACGAGTCTTGGAAGCAAACGACAGTCCGGGAATGTTAGATGAAGACGAGGAGGATTTGCAGAGGGCTCTGGCACTAAGTCGCCATGAAATTGACATGGAAGATGAAGAAGCCGATCTCCGCAGGGCTATTCAGCTCAGTATGCAAGGTACACATGTGCTTACCGGTGAAGAGCTGCTTTCTCGGGAAGCGAATGTACTAGCAAGGACAGCTGGTAAAGTCTCACCATCCTAGAGGAGCTCTGGTAGTGCAGTGCTTACGAATTGGGCTGCTAACCTCAGGGTCAGCAGTTTGAAACTACCAGCTGTTCCATGGGAGAAACATGAGGCGTTCTGCTCCCGTAAAGATTTACAGCCACAGAAACCCTGTACAGGGTCGCTATGAGTCCGAACCAACTCCATGGCACACCACCACCATCCTAGCTTTATAAGGAGCAGTCTGGCCATACTTCTTCCAGCACAGATTTGTTTGTGGCTCTGACAGACACTAGCTTTTGCAGTTGGTTTTTTTATTTATTTATATCATTCTCCCTTCTTAGCGCTCATTTCTCTCAGAGAGAGAAGGCTTTCTGCTCCCATGAAGATTTACATTTATAGCCTTGGAAACCTATACAGGGTTACTATGAGTAGGAACTGACTCGAGGGCACTGGCACCACCACCACCACCACTATTCAATTTCAGGAATCCCTGGGTGGTGCAAAGGGTTAAGCACTCAACTACTGGCCATTGTGGTGGTGGTTTGAAGCCACCAGGGTGCCTCAGAAGATGGGCCTGATGATCTGCTTGTTGAAGGGCGCAGCTTTGAAGGCCCTGTGGAGCACACTTGTCCTCTGCCACCCACGGGGTTTCCAAGACTCAGAAGCCACTCGCTGGTAACTAAGGACAGAAGCCACTTGACTTCACAGTTGTGCTAAGTCTCTGCTTGGCACAATGTTTAAGTAAGACATGGCAAACATATTTAAGTTATAGTACCCAAATGTAGGGTGGTGGTGGTTGTTAAGTGCCGTCAAGTCGATTCCTATCCATAGTGACCCTGTATAGGGTTTCCGAGGAGAAGCTGGTCAGCTTGAACCGCTGACCTTGCAGTTCAAACAGCTTTTCAGTCTGGCATGTTAACCCACAGCGCTACACCAGGACTCGGTGTAGGGTGTTGTGTTGTTATGTGCTGTGGAGTCAGTTCTGGCTCATAGTGACCCTGTACAGGGTTTCCGAGGCTGTAAACTCTTTACGGGAGCAGAAAGCCTCATCTTTCTCCCACGGAACAGCTGGTAGTTTTGAACTGGTAGTTTTGACCGTGAGATTAACAGCCCGATTCGTAACCACTATGCTACCAGAGCTCCTCAGTGTAGGGTATCTTAAATACTTTGGAGTCCTGATGTGGCGCTATGGGTTAATGGCGCAAGAATGCAGAGCCATTTGAACTGCAAGGTTGGTGGTTCAAGCTCACCAGCTGCTCCTCAGAAACCCTATACAGGGTCACTATAGGTTGGAACCGGGGTGGAGAAGATAAATACAGAGAATAGATTTGTTGTAGGAACACCTATCTTAAGTTGCTTCCAAGAACGTGCCTTTAAAAGTAGAGATTTTGTTGTAATAAGTTGAAGGTGGCGCATGTAGCTCCTGCTGTTGATAGTAGACACCATCAAGTCGGTTCCTACTGCCAGTGAGTCTGTGTACAATAGAACGAAACACTGCGCACTCCTGTGCCAGCCTCACAGTGCGATTCTCTTTGAGCCCATTGTTGCTGCCACTGTGTCGATCCATATCATGGAGGAGGGTCTTCCTCTTTCCGCTGACCCTCTACTTTACCAAGCCTGAGGTCCTTCTCCAGCAGACTGGTCCTCCTAACATGTCCAAAGTGTGACGGATGAAATCTTAACCATCGTCGCTTCCCAAGAGCAATCACGGTACTTCTTCCAAAACAGCTGAGAGCACCCTCAGGTGGAGGTGATGGGTGGTTTACATCCTCAAATCTGCTGCATCTTAGATCGGTCACAGGTTTACTTGCTGAGATCATAGTTTAGGTGTAGACGGTGTGACTCAGGGATGCCTGAGACTTTCAGAGCCTATCCTGTCATTACAGAATTGTAGCAGAAGTATTTTTTAAGGAAAAAAAAAACCCAAAACAACTTTTTAAAAGCTGGCTCAAATAAGGATTCGCATAATTGTCTGAGTTGGTAAATTAAGTGAGCTTTTTTTTTGGTTTTATTCTAGGTAGTTCCAGAAATATATCGCAAGACACCCCACAGACATCAGGTATAAACCTTAGTTCAGAAGAGTTGCGGAAGAGAAGAGAAGCCTACTTTGAAAAGTAAAGTAGTTGGTGTCAGATTAAAATCGCATTATTTAATATTTGCATTAACTGTCTTTGTCAGTCTGCAAACAGATCGCTTTGGCTTAAGTTACTGTTTATTTTCATCAGTGTTTCCCACCTTTTAGAAAACTGGTTATTGCTTACACCCCGTGAATATCTGAATTTGTTTTCACAACAAATATTTTTTAAGCTCTGAAATCAAATACAGTTTTAGGGGACAACTTTGGTCCAATATTGGGTAAATTTACATAAGATGGGAAGAAAGAAACCTTATAAAATGTCATATATCCACGGAAAAATGGACTTAGAGCACCAAGCCTTTCGATATGCTTCTTGGTGATATCTGTCCTGCTGGGCTCTCCTATCAGGGAGTGGGAATGACAGCCTTTTAGGTGGGGGCCACACCCCCGGATAGAAGTGATGGTTAACTCTCTTGCAAGGTACCACTTCAAGTGGGTGCGGCGGGTCTGTCAACCTCAGGGATGTGGAGACAAACCATCCATCCATCTGAGTGACCAGCTCCGAAATCCTACCTTTGTGTGCTCTGCACTGTCTTCTATAACTGTCATTTACAT